AGTTCAAGCTTACTTTAACTATGTGTAATATTTAAACCTGCGCTTTAAGCTTATCAGGTTGTTAGTCTTTAGGTTACTATGGTATATGAGGGATCTTATTTTGAGATTAGTTTAGCTTTTGATAAGTTAAGGGTTTTGTGTAAGTTCCAGGAAAAAATGGTTATGTTAAAACCCCGGATTAATTAGTATTTTTGTGGTTTAAGTCTTAAGGGCTATCTTACGTACTATGCTTATTCTAGTCTTTGGGTTGAGTTGGGAGTGGGATGGGGAAGGGATTATGTACAGTGGCGTGGGGGATGGCTTATTGACTGATATTATATAACAGTCCATCGGCGTGACTTAGGGAATGATTTCTTCGGTGGTGAAAGATCAGATTGTCGTCTTCGTCATATATGATGCCCATGTCCATTAGATGGTGAATGTGATGGGCAGTTAGGCACTCTGTGGGGTAGTGTTGAGGTAATTCGGTTTGCATCACGTTGTCTCTATCGATTAATCTCTCCAGTATTTTGAACATGAGTCTGTCTATCCTTGTGGTTTCGGTTAGAGCGTAGAGTTGTTTGTTCGGCAGGTAGTGGTTCGTCAAAGCATTTCTGCTTTGGGTGCCAATTGACTTGCGAAGTATTTTTCGTTCGAATTGTCGTAGCTTCTCCATGTGGACAGTTGCTATGTTCATCCATGCTACATAGCCGTACATAAGAACTGGTTGTATAAGCTTCTTGTAGGCTAGAGCGCAGATTTTGGTGAGTTGAGAGTTCCCTTGGGATACGGCTATTGGCTTGTATATGTGCATGATCTTAGTTAGCATTGCACATGCCTTCCTCTGTGCAGATCCTGTGTGCAACTTGAAGATGAGCTTTTCGTCGTAGGTGACGCCGAGGTACTTGAATTGCTTCTCGTATTTTATAGGCAGGCTGTTGTATATGTACAAGTTGGGCGTAAAGCTTCTCGCATTCCTGTACAGGTCGCTTACACGAGGCCCTCTAAGGATTGCGCTTGTACACTTGTCGGCGTTTAATTTCAGGTGCCATTTCGTGAAGTAGTTGCATAGTAAGTTCAGGTACCCGTTTAGTTCGTTTTCTGCGGTCTGCATTGAGCCTGACGAAGCCAATAGCAGGATATCATCAGCATATATTAGTGCTTTGATTTTTGTGGTAGATCCGGTAGGGGTTTGGTAGTCGGGCATGTCGGACAGGTAGATGTTGTATAAGGTGGGCGCCAGCAGTGATCCTTGTGGAACGCCTGCTGGGACCGATCTTATTAGGGACAGCTCAGCGTCCTGTGGGCTGCATACTTGGAACGAGCGGTTTGTCAAGTAATTTAGGACTATTTTTGTGACATCTCTGTTGAAATTGAGTTGGGTCATTTTGTGTATGAGCCCATTGGTCCAGACTGTATCGAATGCTTTTTCGAAATCCAGTGCACATGCTATTGTGGCACGTTTGTGGGCTAGGTTCTCAAAGACGAAATCATTTAATGCAATGAATGCATGGTTGGTCGATGATTTCGCCCTAAATCCATACTGAGAATCCTTCAGCGTGTCATTAATGACCATGTGCTTCTGTATTTGTTCCATTATAACTTTTTCCAGCAGCAGACTTATTGCAGATAGAAGGGCAATTGGTCTGTAGGCCCGGAGGCTTTGTGGACTTGTTCCTGGTTTTTGGATAGCGATGATTCTGCTGTTCTTCCACTCGGACGGAAAATATCCCAAGTTGAGGCAGTGGTTGAACAGCGTTGCCAGGTGTTTCAGGATGGGCATGTTGCAGTGCTTCATCAGGAAGTTGCTTGTGCCGTCCGGTCCCATGGTTTTCTTCGAGTTTTTTGTTTTTAGCATTTCGAAGAGGTCTTCGGCGTTTGTGAATCCATGCTCGGAGGACTCGGGCCAGTTACCGTCTGCTGTTTTGTAAGTATTAAATGTAGTTTTGTACGTATTTAGTGTTGTGGATACGGTTTGGGCTATGCTTTCGTTAACATATGTTGAGTGTGCCCTAAGAACAGGGTCTGAGTCAGTGATGTTAGCGTTCTGGCTATGGACTCTTTCAAAGGACCACGCGAGAGCATTGATTTTGTCAAAGGTGGAGCTAATGGTTGGAGATGTGCTGTAGTCCAGGTCGATAAGAGCTGCTTCTTCATTCGTCAGTTGAATATCGTGCGCAAGTTGTTCTTTTGGCGGCGTGTTAGGATTTAGGGCTTGGAGTGTTTTGTGGCTGATTTTGCTTGGGTTTACTTTGCGCAGTTTTTGGTCTATTGATTTCAGTTCTGCAAACTCTACATGGCAGGTAATCTGTATGTCCAGGTCTTTTATTAAGTTTTTTATTTGCGTCCTTTGGCTGGCTGTCAGTGTGGATGTGCGGCGGAAAAGAACGCGTCTGAGTTTTCGCTTTCTTTTGATTAGGTTTAGGCAGTATTGGCTAAGTCGGACAAACGGATTGTTGGGGTTGTTCGGGCTTAGGGTGATTTTTGGAATTGCTTCACTGGAATTTAAAGCTTTGTCTATTGCATATGTTAATGTTTGGACGTGACCATCTATGTCAGCTGAGTTTATGTTTTGGGTGTTTGGAATTTGTCTCAGGTTCTGAAGGATGATTGTGTTCCAGTGGATGGGGTTTATTTTTTGGAAGTTATGTAAGGACTTTGGTTGGTTGTATGTTAGTCGGTTGTGTCCTAGATTTATTTTGATTGTTATGCCGAAGTGGTCTGAAGGGAATTCTTTGATGGTTTTGCAGCCGAATGTATACGTGTGGTTGTCTATTGGTATTGAGGATGATGCTATGAAGTAGTCTATTGAGGAGTCTCCCGTCGGATTTGGGCGTGTGGGTTCTTCGGTTGGGAGTAGGTTTACGAAGGGTTGGTTTGCTAGCCATTCCTCCAGCCTATTTCCTGACGAGTTGATGTGATTTGGATGGTGAGAGGGTCTGTTCCAGTTTGGGTGTTTCGCATTTAAGTCACATCCGATTATGAGCTCATGGTCCTCTAGTTTGGTCAGCGAGTGCATAAGGATGTCCATGTCTGAGCCAAGTAAAGGATGGGTGGGGCGCAGGTAAAGTGCAACGGCAACAAGCCCGAATCTTGCGTTGTGTCTGTTGGTGTGAAATATCTGCACTGCCACAGCCTCGATGTATTGCATTTGGTCAATGTTCACTTGTTCGTATTTTAGGCCGTTTCTCAGGCAGATAGCTACTGAGGATTTAGGGGTTCTTGAGTTGTTCATCGATGATGAAACCAAGCTTGGCACCTGTTGTCTCACGAATTGGTAGTTTCTGAGGCCGGGTGAATGCGTACTTCTCAGATTGTGCTCTGCTAGCAGCATCAGATCTGGTCTGTGTTTGTTTAGCAGCTCGTTAAGTTCGTTCCTCTTTCTGAGTTGAACGATGCCATTGACGTTTTGGAACATTATTTTTACTGGCATTTTAGTTGAGTGCGATTTGGATCAGGAAGTCGAGGATTAGCTGTTGCTTCCCTTTTTTGTCCGAGCTGGTGTTTGGGTAGTTCTTGACCAAGGACTGCATGATGTCGAAGCAGGTAAGCAGATCCTTTCCAAATGCGTCCACTGAGTCTCCGTTCAGCTGTTCGAAAGAGAAACTGGCGTTGTTTTCAGCCTTTTGTTGTTTCTCATGGTTAAATCTCGGAGTTACTTTCTGTTGTGCAGGTGTTGGTGTTGGTCCGGTTTTGGCTGCTGAGGCGTAGCTTCGTCCCTTTTCTACTCTGTTTCGAGTAGGTGCAGGTGTTGCGATTGTCTTGGCTGCTCTCTTTTGCGTGAGATTTTGCCTTTCTGTGACTTTCTTTAGGTATTCCAT